TGCTTTTGTTCTTTAATTATGACTACTGTTCTAGTATTCTCTAAGGAATCAAAAATTTTAATATGAAAGAATTTAAAAAACTATTATGGTATAGAGTCGGGGGTAAAACGTCATCTCGCTTCAGGCTTATTGTCCTTCCATTAACATGTAAAGACTATGCTTGAATGTATCCAAACACATCTGACAGCTTTTATATGTATTTACCTGATGTGTTCATATAATCTTTTATCTGATACTCGAATGTTCCTAGCAAGGTTCCAAGTCATGTGAATCATTGCGACGATGGACTTTTCACCTAAACGATTAAGAAAATGTTTAGTGCCTTCTGGAAACATGATTGACAGATAGAGGTTTTGAACCATCACGTGATAGCAGCCATGTTAAATGGCAGTCACAATACAATCGTTTTACATAAGAAAGAATTCAATTCCCGAGAGCAAAGGGATGTTTAATGTTATGCCATCTAACCACAGGCAGCCCAAGGTGTATTATGGACGTGGCATGTGACGAAAAACCTCTAACTAAATATCGATCCAATACGTAGACCAAAAGTGCCATCATAACCTCCCTTCTATCTAGAAAAGCCCGTTAAGGTGACGATATGGTCACGTATAGGACGCGTTTCTTTTTTCTCCCAAGGAGCACCACCCTATCGGACAAGTCACCTAGCATATCTTCATGTAAACGTTGCATGTGGATTCTGATGTCTTACCTTGAAGTTTATTCCATTCGTATCTCTCTACAGCAGCATTAAAGACGTGTGCTATAAAAAAGTTGATATGACATGAAAGACTGATGAGACATCAAGTTACACTAATAATTAATAATAATAATAATAATGATAATAATAATTTATTGAATTTGTATAGCGCAAATCTCAATTGGGGTATTTTCATTTGCGCTGAAAGAAATTCATTTATACTGGAAGAAATCAAGGTTGATATTTACCTGAGATTGGACCGACATTCCAAGCAATGTTATTACACCACCCCTATAATAAACACACCAAGAAAATAATGTGTTACAACTGAAACATGCTGGTGAGAGGAATATATAGAACATAGATGTGTTATTCCTGGTAGGGGTCGGTAGTTGATAGATATTTTTCTCTGAGGTAATAAAATATATTATACTCACTAATGCTTGCACCCAGTGAACAACACCTGGGTTAAGCCAAACCAGATCCCCTGGTCTTTGAATAAACCTATACACAGGTACACGTTCCTCATAGAGCTCTTCTAAAACCGGCCACCATGAACCTGAGAATAACAGCGTTAAAAAGGGTAACGAGTTTAAGTTTTTGGTAATTTCAGGATAATAGGCAATGTGCAGGGGCGGATCCAGGGATTTTAGAAGGGGGGTGACTATTACAAAGGTTTTACCAGGAATTCAAGGAAAAGGGGGGTGACTGTTACTAACAATATACCGGGAAATGTGAGCAAAAGGGGTGTGACTAGTCACCTATATTACTCCCCCTAGATCTGCCCCTGATGTGCATCCCTTTGCATGAAATGGGGAAACAGAAGATATCACCATATTGGCTGACATATGACGAAAAAACGTTTAAACAGGAAAGGAAGTTACATTCATGGTTATTTCAAGATATTAAATCAGAATAAAAATACTAAAGATATAGCACCCATGTTAGATAGTAATATGACAAAGAACCTAAGATCAAATCGTTTGTCTAAGCCAATCAAAGTGGTAAAGACATCTCATGAATCCAAAGAATATTAGTTAGGGTCAGTTTTTACTTACCAGTCAGAAAATTGATTCCATGCCTTTAAGTAAAAAGAAAGAATAGACAAATTAGACTTGAGATGTTTTGATGTGCATTCAGAGCATCACTTAGGGGTTAGGATGGTAGCTATTACAGTTGCAATAGAGTAGACATCAAAAGTAGAACTCTCTCCCATTTCCTTCTCGGTAGACACACAATCAAACCCCCCTTCTGGATATTTCAGCCGCACCTCCATAAGAGTGAAAGAATGGGATTTCTATACAAGTGCAAGGATACTTACTTCTCACATAGATTGTGTATAACTCCCCAGTATTCGCTAGGAGTTGCAAACCATTCACAGTCACCGGGTCCAATGTTCATATTAACTGCACATAAACAGTTGTTCTCTTGGTGACCTACAGACAAATGCATCCATTCATATAGATAATAAATATAAAATATGATGATAGTATAAGGGATATCACATGAACAGCCATACAACAATACACTGTAAAATATTTACAACACTCCTACAGAAAGGGGTTCAAACTTACAATAGCCAAGTTTTACATAAGATTTCAGGATGGTACAGGTAATCTTTTATGGACTAATGGGGTATCAGATGCAACAGTTTCTCACTGTGTACAAGGCGTAGGTAGACTGGTACTATATTATTACATATTTTCTTGGTGATTTGTAGTCTAATGCATCCACAGAAATGGCAGACCTTTTTCAGTGGGGGATGGGAGGGGGGCACTAGGATATTTTTTGGGAACACATTTTCAACTGGGGCCGGGAGAGAGAAAGAATAAAGAATTTATTTTTTCATACATAACTCCAACTAAGACAAATTCTCATAAAATTAAGATTATATTCTCGTACAACTCCCCTTGCTCTGCTGTCCCTATTCATAATAATACTAATAATAATAATTATATAAATTTCACTATTAGTTAAGTCTAGAGACTAACAAGAACAATGACTAACCTGGTGTCCTTGATCCTGGGATTTTCATGTACAGTTGAACAGAATTCATGCCCAGTATGGTATGGCCAAAATGGCTGAGCAGATTGTTAGGGGCAACAACCTGAAAGACAATGACAGTAAGAAAGATCATGCTTTATCTTGATTTAATTCTCATGAAGTGAATCACAGCTGAATGAATTCTCAAACTTGGGAGAATAATTATTTTACATGAAAGCATAGATTATTGCATGTGGGTGGAGGGGGTGGGGGGTGGTATTAATTGGGCATTGCTGTCATGCTGTTCCAAGCCTGAATGTGCACCCATTTCCACTTTGATACTTTGACAGAAGACCCCACCCCACAGGGAATTTAGCTGTCCCTCTCTCTTCCCTTGCCATGCTCACAGTACATACCCTGATAAATTGTGGTAGCTTGTTGAGCTCTTGAAGTTGATCTTTCCATCTAAGGACAAACACAATACGTTTGTAGTGAGTGGTATATTATTCTCTTTATCAATGAATACACCAAATTGAAAACAAATTATTGGGTTCAAAGGGTTCAAATTAATCATCGAAGCTAAGACCAAGGAACATTCTGCGTACTCAATACCTGGGCATTTGGAAAGTGTTTGCATACAGACACATGTGTGAAGAGTGAAAAAATGCTTTGTTTCGTAATTTAAATTAATTTTTGAGGGCTGCAAAACTGAACTATGCAATTTAATATTATCATCATTCACTAACAACTGTTTACTAACAACACACTTTGGTCTTAGCTACCAATGATTGCACTTTTCAACCAGACAATGTTTTATCAATTTGGTGTATACAGTGTGAAACAAGAAATAACAAGTAACAAAACTAGGAGATTATAAAGTGATGTCAAAATACAAACAAAAAGTAAAGTTTAGTTACTTACTTTCTTTCATCTGACAAGTCTACATTTGTTCCAAACTTGATCCACTTGAATTTGAATCCTCTGGAATTCTTCTTGCTAAAAGTGATAATGATAATAGGTGATGTGATTATCATTGACTATTAGTAGTATTGGGTTAGGTTGATAAATGACTAACCTTCTAGAGCTGGATGAAGAGTCGCTGTCTGATTGGATCGGCTCCTTACTTTTTGTTATCCTCTCCTCTTCTTCCTAAAAGCAATTTCATTTAATCATTCATTCATTTATTCCTTCACTCGATGTAAATATAACAAGCGCCTTTGATTCTATCTTGTCTAAAGCTTGTATTACCATTTAAGGTAACAAAAGGTTATGGTATTAATGGGAACAAAGATTAAAAATGAAATACCTTTAGAGATTCCTGGAAAGTGTTAGCTTGATACTGGGCATATTTTGCTATCGTAGTGTATGATCTGTGAATGACATAATAGTAATACCAAGTTCTTATATAGTTCATTATGCATGCATTTCAACATTCTACAATCTAGGTGGCTTAAGGGATTTTGAGGGCTGCCATGCAGCTTACAATCACGAGAAGTGATAGGATATCATTAAAAACAATCCCGAATCCAACAGGAATACGATGTAGAATCAGGAGAGAATCCCCTACTCTTATGAGAATTAGTCTAACAGGTTCTTTAATGTATCAAAAATACTGGTTAATGAAGGGTTGAGGGACAAAGCCTATGGTTTAACATTCTTTTCCAAGGAGACTTGAAGGTCTATTTATTTGCAGCCATGTAATTATAAAATAATTTAAAGTGATTGTCACTCTAAATTAACTGTCAAGTTGTAAGGGAAGCAATAGATGGAGTGCATGCAAAACTAGACGAGACTAAGTGAAGGTATCATTTTATTGTAAGGTTATTTTCATAACTGACCTACTGCTCTCGCAGAGCCATACTTTCTTTTCCCCTTGAGGGTCCCAGTTCTCATCAGATGCTTGTTGCCTCTGCAAAATAACACATGTCTTATAAATTAACTATACCGTCATGTACTAACTTCAATTTGTAGATCAATAGAGGTTTATTGCATGACGTGGCAACAGTCATGTTAGATGGCAGGAAAATACAATCGTTTTACATAAGAAAGAATTCAATTCCCAAGGGCAAAGGGATTTTATTGTTCTGTCATCTAACCACAGGCAGTCCAAGCTGTGTAATTGGTGTGTGCATGTGATGGACAGTGCAAAACTGCTATTGGTTCCTGCTAACCCTAAGGCACTGGACTGTATGCTTCAATTCAATAATCCTTATAAGCTATTCTGACCTGCATTCTGACTTCAAGTTGATGGTCTCCGTTGCACTCGACTAGGGTCTTAGTGGAGTATAGGTTAAGATCTGAATAAACATGACATAAACATAATATTATATAAAATATCAAAAATAAAAACTCAAAGGCAAAGCACTGTATTAACATGTTAACCTGATTAACCTGTCTGGCCAGGACTGGGATTTGTCTGCTCAAACCTTTGCCGTGTTGGTCAATTTGACCAGTAACTTTAGCCAGAAATGAGATAAAGTATGACCAAGGTAAATCTAATTTTGGCCTGTGATCATGACCCGTGACAAATCAGCCGTTGTTTTAAGCCCTGTCATCATTAGATGGGTATAATGATGAAGAATATGATATGCCTACCTAGTTTAAGCGCATTTGCCAGACCTCTGATAACTGTAACAGGTTGTGATGGTGATAGCGCAAAATTCTGTAGTGCCTGGGAATATGCATCCCTTTTGTTTTCAACCTATGGGATGAGAAAATGGAAATCATTTAACACTACCCAAGGAAATGGTCTCTTTTCTGTCAACATTTAGACAACTACACTAGAGTGAAGGCATTTAACCTGCGAAACGAAAAATGTTTGTCAACTTGTAATAGTCAAATAGACAATAAAGACAACAATGGAATTAGGGTCTACTAAAGTGTATTAGTCTAACATCTATAACAGGTTTAGTGAATTCACTACAATACATGTAAACAAAATTTATTACAGTTCATAGTTTCAACAACAGCATTGGATTTTGACATGGTTTTTACATACACTCATCTACTTGGTGTGATGACATAGATAAGGACTAGAGGGTACTAATGGTGACTAGTGTGCTCAGTACAACAAGCAATTAAGAATGAAATTTAAACACTTTGAAAAGAGTTTGAAATTGTATTCTGCTGTTCAAGATGCATGGTTTTCATTAACTGGGCCGAGGGAAATGCTCCAGTAACTGGAAAAATTCTCCATTATTAAGCAAGTTATTAAACTATTAATGGTAGTTTAAACTACCAATAATAGCTTAATAATAACTTGTAAGATGTTCACTTGGTCCCCAGGACTCTCCAGCAGTTCATGATTTTCTCCTATTATTTCAAAACTAATGAAAACCCTGCAAATAGTATTCCTTTATCAGAGTAAAAGAATGACTAACATTCAAAACACCAGTAGGATTGCAAACTTTTTTATAGTTCATTTAAGTTACATTTTTAAGTACTTGCCATGGTATATATCATGGTTTGAACAAAAGAATTATAAAATAACACCAAGAAAGTTTTAACTTACAGATATGCTTGGTGTAGGAGGAGAGAGTTTGTCTGTTGGTAGTGGAGGATGAGGTTGCTTTGGAGGACTTGGAATAGCTGTCGCATCATAAAGAAGTGACACCTTAGGGACTTGAAAGGCAGATGGCCCAATACCAGAAGTAAGGGGAGACTTGGACAAGGATGGTGAAGCCATAGCAATCATTGGCGGAGATATTAATGATGGTGATAATAAAGACTGCTTAGAGCTTGGTGACAAACTACAAGCATTTACTGTCAATGGTTGAGTAAGGTTTGGAGAGAATGAGACACTCGTAGAAAATTTTTGCGTGGGAGAAGAAACGTATGTCGGAGAAGAAAATGATGATGAAGAATACTCATTGGTTGAGCCACCACCACTTCCTAAAGTTGGGTTATCGGATCTTGTCAGTGCATCAGGTAAACTTGATGTGCCTTCACTAGACGTAACGCTAGTATTAGATGTCAAACCTTCCATTGGTGAAGGAAGAACTTCGGAGGAGTGACGTGATGAATTTGAAACACTCTGTGCTGTTAATAACATAGAATTCGATTGTCCCAATGAACTAGAAATATCTGATGCTCTACTAGATGCTGAAGACAACAGAGGGTCTGAACTCAATGATGTAAGAGCCACTGTTTCTGCTCCAGTTACTGGCCCATTCTGCTGGCCAATTCCTTGAGATTCTAATCCTAGTCGGCCATTTGAATTATTTACAAAATTTTGTTGTTGTTGTGGGTGGTGACCATTTATTCCATTACTGGTATTCACATCAAGTTCTGTGTTTCCATTGTGCATTGTAAAATTATTACCATTGCTTGATGGTGGTAAAGAAGTCTGTCCCTGAAAAATAGGCGGCTGCTTTTGATCTACAACTGGTTGCAAACCTTTGTTTATTTCTGGTGGTTTTGGTTCTTGGGGTTGTACATGGTTATTCATTAATAGTGTGTTTCTGTCAGGCTGCAACTGCTGGTGCTGTAGTTGCTGTTGCTGTAGCTGCTGCTGTGTATAAAGAAGCTGTAAGCTCTGTGAAGTTGTTAAGGATGACTGTCCTGACTGTACCATTTTAGCCTGAAATAAAACCAGGCATAGCAAAATGTAATACTGCACCTATTTTAGATTCTTTTTATGTACCCTTTATATATATGTATATATATACGACTGCACTACTGCTTGAGTGCTGCAAAACATAATGGATGGTTGGATAGATGGAAAATAAGAAAGGAAGGAAGGAAGGAAGGAAGGAAGGAAGCAAGGAAGGAAGGAAGGAAG